CGCGAGTTTGTGCTTTGATTGTGGGTCTCAGCTTGGTGTGCATTTCCGACTCGCTAACACGAAAACTTAGAGCTTCCCTAGTTTGTACATTCAGCTATACAGTCCGATAGACTGACATTCGCAACAAGAGTCCACTCTTTCAACGCTCGTCCTTCCGTGGATTTAGCAGTATCCTGCGGTCGCCAAGCTCGAGACAACGGTAGCACGTTCGGAGCGAAAACACTGGGACAGCCATTACAATTTGCGATCTCCCTGGAGTCGTCTTTCGAACCCTTATACCTCTGCCATGTCATCTGTAAGTGTTACCGTAGACAGATACTAGCTGCGCGACAACTAAACATCACATCTCTGACGTACAGAAAGAGGAACGATGCCAACAGTGTCTAGGTGATCAGCTGTTCACCGACCATGGGGCAGGACATATCGTGTATGTTGTTTTGGCTATGTTATCCCGCATATTCAACTTGCTCATCTTCTATCCTCGTAGCTGCATGACGTGTGGTAACATTGTTAGTGACACCATTCTATCAGCTGATATCGAGTTCGGAGAAGGTGGCGGTGGTGCGGCTTTCGTACAAGGTTCATTTGTTGCTGATAACGCTAGTGAGTGCCATCGTTTGTTCTAGACACACACCTCGTATTGACAGCGTGTTCCTGTAGCTGGAGCTAGATTTGCTGGTCCTGGAAGAAGACAAGGTGGAACAGAGAGTCGTGAACAAACTTTAGCGAATGGCGAGTATTCAAATCCCGCTTCTTTAGTTTGTCTCCCTGTTTAACAGGACTTGCAATCTACAGGAAGAAAAGCATGTAACGCTCTAGCTCACCTGCTCAACCTGGGACAAGGTATCGCCGATGCCGGTGCGCGATGGTTCAACCTCGCTGTAACCTACGAATTCACCAAAGGACGAAAGCAACAGTATGTCATTGCAGCGTGTCTGTATATCGCTTGTAGAAAGGTCAAGAACGATGTGATGCTTATCGACTTCAGTGACAAATTGCACGTAAGTTCGAAACGCGAATGCTTTCAAACTTGGCATTGGTCTGATTCTATTCTCTATGCCAGGTCAACGTCTTTGAACTGGGAAGCACCTACCTCAAGCTGGTGCGCAAGCTAAACCTCAAGGATATCCCGTTGATCGACCCTTCCATCTATATCGCACGATTCGCCGGCTTGCTCGAATTCGGCGAAGACACACGGCGAGTCGCTCAGGATGCCTCTCGACTAGTTTCCCGATTCGAACGAGACTGGATGCAAACGGGTCGTCGACCTTCAGGTATCTGTGGAGCATGCCTCATCCTTGCAGCTCGAATGAACAACTATCGTCGGTCCGTTGCCGAGGTGGTGCAAGTCGTCAAAATTGCCGATGTCACGCTACGGAAACGACTGGCAGAATTTGGTGCGACAGAGAGCAGTCAACTGACGGTCACTCAATTTCGAGAAATGTGGCTGGCAGATGCGGATAAACCTCCAGCTATGATAAGAAACCTGAAAAAGGAGGCGGAACAGCAGAAGAGAGCCGCAAGAAGAGAAAGAGGCGTGGATTCGGACGAGAGTACTGTGGACGAGGACGCGGACGAAGATGTCAAGGCAGCCAAGATAAGAAGAAGAAAACGGAGGGAGCAGATGAAGGAGGAGAGGGAAAGAGCGAAGCGGCTGCGGATGGAAGCTGGAATCAAGGGAAGTGATGATGAAAGCGAAATGGGCACGCCCGCACGATCTTCTAGAGCAGGCAGCACAGCACGCGGAACTCCGGACCTGCACCAAGCTGCTTTACGGCAATTACACGGTTCCCCGACACCCGTGCCAGCCAGGAAACAAACTGGGTCGATCTCTGCTCTGCAACACATTCAAGATGAAATGGCGAGACTGGAGAGGGAAAGAGAAGCGATAGATGCGGAAGAGGAAGCGGATCAACGCGACGAGAACGGCACTGGAACCTCTGCACCTCCAGGAGAAGATGATATCCTTAGGCGCATAGAGGATGACGATAGAGGACTCGACACGCAACTCCGCACTGTTCATGAAGAGAAGGAAGGCGGATCAGATATAGAAGATCCTGCTGCACTCTCGGAAAAAGAACTCGACAATCCGTTGGTCGATCTAGCCGTGACTGGGGAAATCGAGGAATACATGCGAGAAGGACGTCCGGCCGAGCTGATACACTCGTTGGACGAACATGAACAGCGGCGGATGAATCAGTTGAAGCGGAAATTAAACAGCCAAGACGAGGATCTAAGCGGACTTGATGACGGTGAACTCGATAGTTACTTGTTGGACGAGCAAGCGGTCAAGGTGAAGACGATGATCTGGAATAAAATGAACAAGGAGTACCTGATCAAATTATATGGCAAGTCTGTTCACCTGTTCCTTCAAGTGATCCGCAGCTAATTCCATCCGTATCAAACAGCCAAGCAAGCCAAACAAGCAGGTGAAATTGATACATCCGCGCCACCAAAGGTAATGAATTCTACTTGTGTCAGATCTGTTGCGCCTCGCTGAACTGTAATTACCAATGTCTAGCCAAAGAGGAAGAAGAACAATAAACTCGGTCCCGCGTCAACCGGCGTGGAAGCTGTTCAAAACCTTGCAACGCACAGAAAGTTCAGTAGGAAGATGAATTACGATCAGCTCGCCAAACTCATGCAGGAGGACAGTGACGAAGATAGCTTTGATGCCAAGGGCTTGCAGCGAATGCCGAGCACCGCGCCAGAGTCTCGCCACGAATCACATTCTGTCAGGAATGCACATCGTGACCAGGATATCGATTATGATAATGGTAAGCTAAGGATTCGAGCCTCCTGGTAATCCAGAACTGACTCCGTGTATTGCTTCACGTGCAGACAAAGCGGACGGATCTGCGAGTGAGGACGAAAACGAAAAGGAAGATGCCAACGAGAAAGAAGGTTCCCCGGAAATCGTGGAAGAGGACCATGTCAGTCATCCACCTGCTACAACAGCAGCACTAGCCGACGCGGAAGATGAGGAGGAACCCTCAATGCCAGCCTGGGGCAGATTCAAGCATTACGAAGAAGATGAAGGGTTCGAGGAACTATAATCGGGACCAAATTTTACGACACCTAGCTCTGCAGCGCTACCCAGAGATACTGCTTTTCTGCCTTTGCCGACCGGGCCTAGTACGCCATTTACGACATTCTCTTTATACGTTCTGAATATGGTTTAATTACACCTACATAAACCTGAAACACTCTCTAAAACATCGAGTTTCCGTTGTATGTTATGTATACTACACCATGCTTTCTATATTATCCTGAAATACTGCTGCAAAGATCGTATTTCCCCTACGACATTCCACAGTACCATCGTCATCAAGCAGCTAACGCCCAGAATCTGCATCTATTTCATTACTCGCTAAGTTGCGAAATCTACAAGGACGACAAGCCGAAAACTGAGCAACATATAATACAGGTGCGCGAAAGTTTCATCAATCCACATCATCGGCTCTATCGGTATCGGCAGCTGTGGTCGTAGTTGCACCTTCGCTGCCACTGCTCTCCTCATCGCTACTACTCGAATCCGCGTCGTCCTTCTTGTGTATCTGGAACGCCATACTCCAGAAGACGGCTGAGTCGTCTCTTGATTTACAGATGTAGGTTGCAGGTTGACCATCCCAGTACCGCAAGAGTGGGATCCGTAAGGCAAAGGGTTGTGGGAGAACCGCGCATAATGTGCTGAAATCTACGACCGATGATACATGAATTAACATGAATAGCATAGGGGTCGGTAAGCGCCGAACTTACCTAACAATCCGTTGCAGAATTCCATTCCCACTTCCCAGTTCTCATCCAGTATCAGCGATTGTCGGTTCTCCTTATTCGTCAACCAACGCCTTCTCGCCTTTACAGCTTCAGCGGTTCCAACTCCCCAGTCTTTGATCGGGTCCTGCGACGCGGCCAAGACGTCTTCCGAAACGTTGCCACTGTTCTCCTGTCGCAAAGCCATGATCCCTTCATACGAGTCTTCCGTGATCACGGTCGATTGCCGCGGTTTACTGGTACCGTTTGCGTTTCCATTTCCGTTTGCGTTTCCGTTTGCGTTTCCATTTCCATTCGTTTGCCTGGCTCCTGCTTTCCGGATAGACAGGTAGTTCATGGAAGCCACCGTTGGTGAGCTGTTGCAAAGTCAAACGAATCAGTTAGGCTGGTTAAACAGGAGAAGAGACTGCTTACAGAGCCCAGGGTTTGTCCGCATACGGATCCATCTCTACATTAGGATCTACCCAACTGGAGAATTGGGTACTATGTCAGCTCCAGCGTGAATCTTCAGTAACAGCCAAGTAACGTACTTGATGAACCGCATAGCAATCGACGTTCCCCAAGGTAAGCTAGCTCTAATAGGCTTCTCGAATACGTTTCCAAAGAGGATGTCATCTGCGGATGTCGGCTTGAGGAAGCGTCCTAATTAGCAGTAGCTGTGCAATTTAGCGAGCCGGACTTGCGATATTATAGTTATATCTGACTGACCTCGCACCACAATTCCGTATGTCATACCCTCCCTTCCTGGCTCACTAAAGTACTCCATACCATCTCCCTTCTTCTTTAATCCATGATAGTCTTTGACCCAAACAGAGATCTCCCCGTCAAACGCTTTCGTTTTTATCGGTATCGGTGTTGTCGAATTCACCACGACCGGCTGGATTGGTGGGTAGGCCGTGTCGCCTTCTGGGTGCAGAATTTTTAAAACCGGGGCCATGTCGTTTTTTTTTGTGCTGAATATTTCGCAACGTCTAGCCTTAGTGGATGTGGACGGCTTTGCAGAATGAAGCAAAATATCAAAGCGATAAAGCGATTATAAGATAAACCTTGCTTCGTTTGCTGCTCAACCACATGCGATCGGCGATCCTTGACGTCAGTCAGTGGAAGCCACGCGGCAGCAAAAGCGCTGATAAGGCATGTTTGCCCAAGATCATCAACGTGTGCGCGGCAACTGTCTTCTTTTCATTTATTATATACCGCGTGCGGCAATCACGTTTTTGTGAAACGGTCGCTTGATGTAGTTGGTTATCATGTATGCTTTACATTTGAATTTGTGAGACGCATAATGTCGCCAGTTCGAGTCTGGCAGTGATCAGATTTTCCTTTTTTTGGGGTCAGCCAAGATCAGTTGGAGCTGAGGCGGGAGTTCTAAGCTCTTCGTGTAATATATAGGATTCCTGTCTACTTTGGTATTGAATGAGGATTAGCTTTTGAAGAACGGGTTAAGTCAATCACTGAAGGGTAGCTAGTCTTTGGGGCCAGGTCAGCTGTCAGGTCCAAGTAGGGAGCTTGTCTGGCAAGCGAGCAAAAGTTGGGGGTGAATTACAAGGGTAAAGGTTTAGGGAGTGTCAGACGTTGGAATGACTCACTATTAAGGATCCAATTGCTATAAGATGTGCTCTACTAAAAGAAGACAGGTTAGTAGTAGGAAGTGTAGAAAGACACAGCCTACAACCTAATCCACGTCATTCCTGAGTCGATTCTGCATCACTAATGTCACGAACGGGAGGCTGTTGAGCTAAGACTCAACACTTGGGTACGACAATGACCTCAAGAGGGAACAGGACTAAGGCTAAGACTGATGACAAGGCAGTGGGTTCGAACCACTAAGCTATAGTTGAAAACACGTGACTATAGTATTGACATATGATCTTGCTCTGAGGAGCAAAACGGATTACAAGACGAGGGGGAATCGAGTCTGAAAGCTCGCTATATATACATGTTGGGACACAAGACAGTGACCAGGGTCGCCTGCGACCTCGATCACTTTGGAACTGAACTGAACGACGCGCGGCGCGCGGATTGCAAATAACGAAATGATTGATGAGTGATGGCTGACACATTTGATGTCAGCCGACTACGGACTTGTCGGACATCCGTCTCAGCCGACAATGCATTCAGCTGATGACAAGTTGTCAGCTGATGCTGCTTCATGCTAATTAATGTCATTCATGACAAGGGCGGAACGTCTTTCCCCACTCCACAACTACGTGCGCCTCGTCCACAATATACCCAATCAAATCCTTCCTCTCCTGATCATCCTTCAATACCTTCCTCACGTCATCACTCTGTAGCTGCTCGGGACCAATAAAGATGCGTCGGTATCTCTTCTTCTTGATCGCGGTGAGTAGGGCCGCAGTCTTGGTGTCTTCGTTCACGAAAAGCGAGTCCTTGTCCTTCGAGGCTTGTTCCTTCTGCAAGGCCTTCAATGGACTGATGACGACGACCATGGCATGCTTGTTGACGGATGCGGGGAGGTGGGAGAGGGCGATGATCAGAGATTTGCCGGAACCGGTAGGTGCTAGGACGACCGTGTCTTTGCCTTCGTATAGCGAGCGTGCGGCTGCGATTTGGAAGTCTTTGGGTGGATAGCCGTACGTGTCTTCACATAGCTTTCGAACAGCTGCTTCATTGTATGGGTCAGGCATCTTGTAGAGCTAGAGAGAATGATACAACCATATAGGAGAGAAGTTAAAGGAACATCTAACTGAGCGTGATGAATCATGAATTTCTCCAAGTCCGAAACTTGACCTCCACTTCGAAATCCGTCAGCCAAAATCCGATCGTCTGGGTTACTCCATACAAGGGGGGTGGAGCTGGACTCAGACCAAGCTCCGCTTGCGCTGCGCAGCAGGAGAGCACTCGTTCCGCCCAGATACCTAAGCCAACCTCGAAACTCGCCATCGGGTCAATTGGCTTAAGGTCCTTAAACTACCTGATCAAGACTTGACAAGTAGAGTCCATCATTGCTCTTGAGGTGAACGAATCAGGCTTGAAGCTTCCGCCCTCGCCCGACCTGAGCCTGAATGGCAAGAAGGTTTCCGTTTCCGCCTTAGATCCCGCCCCCGACACTTTCGACAACACCATTCCAGTTGAATTCCAAGACTACTCCGATGTCTTCAGTAAAATCTCTGCCGACAAGTTACCGGAACACGGCCAATACGACCACACCATCCCGCTTGAGTCTGGTGCCAAGCCACCCTTTGGACGTATTGATGGCCTTCCCGAAGTAGAACTCAAGGCTCTAGATGAGTATCTGAAGGACAACCTTGCTAAGGGTTTCATCCGCCCTTCGTCGTCCCCTGCTGGAGCTCCGATACTCTTTTTAATACTTCAACACGTCCAAAGTCCTCACTCGGCGACAAGCCCGGTGGATGGAGTTCCTTTCTCACATCGACTTCGAGATTATCTACCGCAAGGGCGTCCTTATGGCAAAACCAGATTCGGGCAAAGTGTAATGATACCGCCAGCCAGCTCTATATGTACCGCTCTCAGTTGATTAATTATGTAATTGCCTACTTCACTTTCGGCCGCCGACGCGTCACTATTATGAGCCAACGCCACGATGCGACAACACCTTGCTGTTCGAACACCTCGATGTTGTAACACCAAGCCTGAATGACTGGATGTTGTAACACCATCTCGACGGAACGCCTTTCATAGGAGCCTCTAGCTAGCCAGATAACTATATAAGTAGAAGAAATCTTTGCCACTCTCTGTAGACCTTATTTAGTTATGACACGCAATATTGGATCAAGTAAACAATACAATACTTTCAGTATTATCTATAAGGAAGTCGCGAGCCTTACGTCATCACATACAAAGTAGATATTGTTAGGCAAGTCGCTAAGACAGGTGAGTATTACATAACCACTGTGTAGCTCCGAGAAGCTGGGACTAGTTAGGAAGACTCTGTTACTTAAACAATAAAGCTAGGACTTGTACAACTTATATTGAACTATAAGTTGCAGTCAGCTTAGGCTTAGTAGCATTGGCTCTTAACACAAAGCCTCTGAAGCGGCTCCCCAAGCCCTACTCAAACCCGGTCAATTCCGAACCTCCACAGACACCTTTGACTCTCCGCCCAGCTCTTTTAATCTAGCACCCTTACAGGAAATCTACAACCCTCCAGCATTACCATACTCTGATTTGTCTTCTAGGATTCTAGCCTTTCAGGCTGAGGATCCACTTCTATCCGAGATCACCCCTTTGCTTAGGGATGTCGATACCCCTTACAACAGAGAGCAAATAGAGCTCACCAACGGATACTCCCTTTCCCCCAAAGATCTCGTCTATTTTAACAGTAAAGTTTACGTTCCCGACAACCATCAAATCAAATTGGACATCCTACGACAAACCCACGACTCTCCTCTTGCCGGACACCTGGGACAAGCAAAAACGTTTGCTCTGGTGTCTCGTCACTACTCCTGGCCCGGTATGCGAGCCTTCGTCAACACATACGTACAAGGCTGCCAAACATGCCAGCGAAACAAAACACCGCGCCATAAACCAGTCGGTTTACTCCAGCCTCTGCCGATCCCTTCTGGACCCTGGCAATCTATCTCCATGGATGCCATTGTCAAATTGCCTTTATCCGATGATTACGACTGCATTATGGTCCAAGTCGATCGCCTTACCAAGATTGCACATTTCCTACTTTTCAAGGAAGAAGGCTTTACCTCTAAACACCTCGCCAAGATGATGCGATTCATCTTCCGCCTTGATGGCATTCCTCAGGACATCGTCTCCGACCGTGGTCCTATCTTCACATCCAAGTTCTGGAGAGCCTTTGCATCAGGCCTCAACATCAAGCTTAACTTCAGTACCGCCTATCATCCGCAAACGGATGGCCAGACCGAAAGACTCAACCAAGTTCTGGAACAATACATACGAATGTATACGAATTACAATCAAGACGACTGGGTAGACCTGCTCGATAAAGCAGAGTTTACATACCACAACTCCGAACACGCCTCGACCAAAATGACTCCTTTCTATGCCAACTTTGGCTATCACCCGCTGGATCCTTCCGCTCTGGTCGAGCCCTTGCTCAATCCCCTTGCCAAGACCCACCTCGAAGAACTTTCTGACATCCGGCAACGCCTTATTGCTAACATACGAAAAGGCTCAGGCCGACTACGCCAAATACTATGATCGTAAGGTGAAATCTCACCTCAACCTTGAGGATGAGCCCCTATATAACGTTGGGGATAAAGTCTGGCTACATGCTAAAGATTAACCCACCTCGCGACCTTCCACCAAACTAGACCACAAACTCCTTGGGCCTTTCAAGATTATTGAAAGGATTTCCGACCTCGTTTATCGCCTTGAATTACCTCCGACAATGGAAATCAACAACTCCTTCCACATCGCTCGCCTAGAACCTTTCAAAGAAGGTCATGCCAATCAGCCTCAGCAAGAAATGCCCCCTATCGTCATTCAAGGCGAACGAGAGTACATCCCAGAAATAATTCTCGATGGTGGCTACGAAGAGTCCACCAACCGATTTGTCTACCTCGTCCACTGGGAAGGTTACCCAGACTCTGAAGACACATGGGAGCCTTACGAAGAGCTCAAACACCTCAAGATCTTCAAGAAGTTCCAATCCGATCGTAAAGATTCTCCTGAAATGTTTCCGCCTCCAACTCGGCACAAGAAATCCAAAAAGAAACAGGTCAGATCTCAGGCTCAAGGGACTTCGCCTTAAACAGGGGGGTACTGTCATGAATGACATTAGTCAGCATGAAGTAGCATCAGCTGACATGCATTGTCGGCTGAGACGGATGTCCGACAAGTCCGTAGTTGGCTGTGATCACTCATCAATCATTTCGTTATTTGCAATCCGCGCGCCGCGCGTCGTTCAGTTCAGTTCCAAAGTGATCGAGGTCGCAGGCGACCCTGGTCACTGTCTTGTGTCCCAACATGTATATATAGCGAGCTTTCAGACTCGATTCCCCCTCGTCTTGTAATCCGTTTTGCTGCTCAGAGCAAGATCATATGTCAATACTATAGTCACGTGTTTTCAACTATAGCTTAGTGGTTCGAACCCACTGCCTTGTCATCAGTCTTAGCCTTAGTCCTGTTCCCTCTTGAGGTCATTGTCGTACCCAAGTGTTGAGTCTTAGCTCAACAGCCTCCCGTTCGTGACATATAATACAAAGGTATTCTGACATTTGTGTCGCCATATATGCCAGCATATGAATATGTCGAGAATATGTACTGCGACTCTCTTACACCTTTTAACGCCGCCTCTCTCTATCGCCGCATCTCACCATCATCGTCTCTCTCCCTCTCTATCACCGTCTTCCATTACTT